AAGGGAGCTTGCTAATTACACTGCAACCATATAAGCAAGTTCTCCAAAGCCATAAAAAAGAAAAGTTGTGTAGAAGGAGATATGGAACGCTCTCTAAGGCACTGTGTTTAACAACAAACTACAAAGACATAAGCTGCTGATTACGCAGAATAAAAAGGGTGGAAGCAGGAAGCAGGCCCTTCTGCACAATACTTACTCAGTTTAGAACCATGTTGCTGTCATCTCAAGGCCAATAAGTAAACCTCATTTTAAAAAAATGCCACCCCAACACTTCTCGGCCTTTTGGCTAAGATTAAGTGTAGTATCTGTTCTTATCAGTTTAAAAAAATGCCACCCTTTGGAACACCCAAGTGCCATAATAAACTAGTAATCCATCTAGGACAGCTGTGACCCTTGTTGCACTTGGTAACTGAATGGGAGGTCATATTTCAAGAAAAGACGGAGTTCAAGGAAGTTTGACTGTTTTAAAGGACACACAGAAACACTGCATGCAGATGGAAGTGGGCCTACAGATCAGAAAGATGATCAACTTAATGGGCTTTAATCTTGATGATGCTTTGGTTTGCAAAAAGTTGTAGTTTTATTTTCACTTTGTTTGAAAGGCAGAGAAACAGAGAGCATTTTCTCATTTTCACTGGCTCACTCCCAATCACCTTTAACAGTCAGGGCACAAAGCCCAAGCCAAGAATTCAGCACAAGTACCCAACTGGGTGGCAGGGACCCAACTACCTGAGCCATCATCTCTTGCCTTCCCGGGTGTGCATTAGCAGGAAGCTGCATCAGAAGCTGAGCCAGGACTCAAATCCAGGTACTCCAACATCACGCATCTGTGCCCCAAGAAGCATCTCAGCCACCGTGCCAAGTGTCTGCTCTATGCTGGTGGCATTACACAGACCTGGATTACTCGAAAAGTACCAGTGCCCGGAGCCCCATTTCCAAACTCGTGACATCAGGAACATGCAGCATGTACCTTCAGCCAGATAATCCCTGATCTGAATGCTTTAAAACAATGAGTATGTCAAGGGACACTTGGCAATGCTGAAGATACATCTGCGTGTCCCAACCTGGATGGGGACTGCTGCTGACATCTAGAGGGCAGAGGCAAGGATGTCGCTAAATCTCTCACAATAACTGGAGAGTCTCCAGCCACAACAACTGGGACTAAAACAAAAGAATACAGTGACAGTAAGGCCCTGTTCTAAAATAGCAATCAATTTTGGTCTCCATTCTTTTTTTTTTTAGGATTTATTTATTTTTATTGGAAAGTCAGATTTATTGAAAGGAGAGACAGAGAGAAAGATCTTCCATCCACAGGCTCACTCCCCAAGTGGCCACAATGGCTGGAACTGAGCCAATCTGAAGCCAGGAGCCAGGAGCTTCTTCCAGGTCTCCCACATGGGTGCAGGGTCCCAAGGCTGTGGGCCTCCCTCCACTGTTTTCCCAGGCCACAAGAGGGAGCTGGAAGGGAAATGGGGCAGCCAAGATATGAACTGGCACCCATATGGAATTGTGGCGCATGCAAGGCAGGGACTTTAGTCACTAGGCTACTGCATTGGACCCTCCTCGGTTTTTTTTTTTAATAAAGATTTATTTATTTTTATTGTGAAGTCAGATATACAGAGAGGAGAAACAGAGAAGAAGACCTTCCATCTGTTGATTCACTCCCGAAGTGACTGCAATGGCTGGAACTGAGTCAATCCAAAGCCAGGAGCCAGGAGCTTCTTCTGGGTCTCCCATGCAAGTGTAGGGTCCCAAGGTTTTGGGCCATCCTTGACTGCTTTCCCAGGCCACAAGCAGGGAGCTGGATGGGAAGCGGGGGCCGCTGGGATTAGAACAGGTGCTCATATAGGATCCTAGTACGTGCAAGGCGAGGACTTTAGCCACTAGGGCACAAGCAGGGCCCTCTTCATTCTTTTTTAAGCCATGGTGATTATTTGTTCATTCATGAGGCAGAGTCATGGAGCTTCCATCCCCCATTGATCCCCCAAATGCCCAAAACCACCAGTGCTGGACGGAGGCCTGGAGCCAGAACTCAATGCAGGTCTGCCCCTTGGGCACCTAACTACTGAGTGAGCCATCACCTGCCGCCTCCCAGACTGGATCTGTGGGAGCTGAAGCTTGGAGCTGGAAGCCTGAGTTGGGAATCAAACTCCCCTATGGCTATACAGGTATCTTGAGCAGCATTTTAACTGCCAAGTCAAACACCTGCCCCAGCTTTTACTCCTAACAAAGGAAATAATCACTCACTAATGTATGCACAATAAAGTTATTTCATTGGCTGCAGAAGTTGGATACTAAATACAGAATGAATTGGTAGCCCTCCAGCACTCCCTCCAGAACCAGTTATACATCAAGAGTCAGCCACAGTCCCACAGGGCCGGCACGCTTTCCCAGCTGCTGTCCCCTACCGAGCCCTCTATACCTTGGAGCCACCTCCCTCCCCGGGAGCTTTCTTCATCCCATGCGGGCATAAAACATTGCTGCTTCCCCTCCTCATCTGTCAAACATCCCTCCACCCATTCCAAAATCCCTGACTTCCTCACCACTTGCCAAAATAGAATCGCTATCAAGAGATAGAACCTGGGCCCGGTGCGGTAGCCTACTGGCTAAAGTCCTCATCTTGCATGCACCAGGATCCCATATGGGTGCCAGTTCTAATCCAAGCAGCCCGCTTCCCATCCAGCTCCCTGCTTGTGGCCTGGGAAAGCAGTCGAGGACGGCCCAAATCCTTGGGACCCTGCACCAGTGTCGGAGATCCGGAAGAGGTTCGAGGCTCGAGGCTCCTGCCTTCGGATTGGCTCAGTTCCAGCCATTGTGGCCACTTGGGGAGTAAATCAATGAACAGAAGATCTTCCTCTCAGTCTCTCCTCCTCTCTGTCTATCTGACTTTCCAATAAAAATAAAATAAATCTTTGAAAAAAATTCTGAAAAAAAAAACAGAACCTGGAGAAACAGTAGAAATGGCTTTTGTATAATTCCCTTCTTTCAGTCGTCATATTTTTAAGGATCGGCTCATTAACACCTGATTCATCTCTGGGTATTCAAAACCAGACTTGCAGTTTCCAGGACATTCCACTACAATTACAGCTCTTCTGTGTGCTTCCTTAAAAGAAAGGACAAATGATTATGCTTCTCCCACAGTTTGATATTAATGAGTAATTCTACCTGTCCCAAAATAGGTCAGGTGACCTGCACGGGGAATACCTCTCCAAAGATTCTGTCCTTTTCTAACTAAGGGCTTCTCCCTTTCCTCTGAAATTGCGATCATATGGTTTGGGGCTGTGCTTTAGAAATTACCTAATACAACGTACACGTTTTGTTAACAAGGAAACTGAGCCCGATGAGGATGGGTCCCTTAGCCAAGGGCCACGCGGCAGAAGCAGAAGGAGAACATCCACTTGCAGATAACTAGCTCCCTAGATTCTCCATGCTAAAGTTATTCCCGTGCTGTGACTTTCCTACTCAAATAACATCCTTCCCAAGACCTCTATTAACATGGGGAAGAGCTAGCTGCTGGAGAACTGAATGCGGTGCCATTTGAGCCCTGCTATAGAGTCATCACTGAAATGTTGAGGGCTGAAGACTATAGAGTTGGGGATTCCTTTTCCTCCTTTCACGGTCTCAGTTTACCGTAGTGCAAGGTGGGGAGCTCCAAGAGTCTGCTTTCAACCAGACAGTAGGTGGGACGGCCGCTGGGAGAAAAGGCAACGTTGCGCGTTCTAGACTTGGAAATCATAGAACTTCCCAAGGCTCAAAAATTCCACAAGTGGCCAAAGAAGGGAGAGTAGAGTTACTCAAAACTCAAAAAACTCATGAAATTTAAGATACAAACTCAAGCACTGATGAAACTTGGCCTGCGTCATCATTCTCCTGCAAACTGGTTTCCTTATCATTCGTTCTCAAGTTTATTCTGATCCCGACTACTTGTTAAAGTCTGGACATGACTTTTTCTACTGCAGGTCTTCCGGCATGTTCTATCTAGTCTGCACTTTCGGATTTTGTTTGGTTGGTTCGCTTTTTGAGTTGTTTCTTTCACGGACAACAACTGTCTATGACATCCAGATGAAACTCAAAGGAGGAAGAGACAACCTTTTATTTCCCCTTGAGAACTTAGAATACCTTTGCTCCGGTGGTTTGATTTCCCTTGGGGGTTACTGAGCTCCCCTCTGGCAGTTGCATTCACACTTTGCTCCAGCTTTCAGGTGTTTCCCAAGCAGCCCCCCACATTTCAGCATCTGTTGAAAAGGCCCCACACTGAGGGAAGGCCCTCCAGTCAACAGAAGGGAGACTCCCTTTGTACCTCGGGCCTCTAGCAGGCAGAGGGCCTGGGCCTTGGGCGCTCTCTCCCCAACCTATGCAAGCTGCCCTGGCCCTGAGCACCAGGCCACAGGACGGGGACAAAGCAGGTGGGACAGCAAGGAAAGGGGGGGGCACCGAGGCCTGACACCGTGTGTCGCGGCAGGGAGCCCACAGCCCGCATGTGGCTAACATGGAAGGTGGCTGCAGTGCAGGGCTGTAACTGCTCTAACCTAACAACCGAGAGACGACAGTTCGAATCTTACCACTGCAAGTGCACTGCAACGCCTCGGAGCAGAAAGGGGGCAAAACAGCATTGCATAATCTTCTCGAGCTCAAGGTGTTTCTAAACAGCGCTTAACCAAACCCCTGTAAAGCTCTAAAAATAAAAACACTAAAAAGCCACCCACAGTGGAGTCTAAAGTTTCCAGGGCGCTGAGGTTTGCGTCAGGCTGATAGGAAGCTCACGACGGCAGCTTTGGGGAGTCGTAGCGATCGAGCGACCCGGGGGACGCGCTCAGCTGCGGGGTCGGCCGCCACGAGAGGGCCAGGCCCTGCCCCCTCTCCGCCCCGAGCCCTGCGGAGAGCCCCAGGGCATTCCCGAGCCGCGCCCGCCCGCGCTTCCCACCCGCTTCACCCAGAGGCTGCGGGAGCGGGCCGGTGGGCTCGGAGGGCAGCCTGAGGGCCAGTGGCCCCGCACTTACCGAAGTCCAGGAACTGTTTGATGGAGAGCGGTGATGGCGAGAAGCGCGAGTAGCGCTCGATCTGCTTGGGCACGGGCTGCTTGAGCAGCCGGTGGAACAGCCGCATCCTCGCCGGCGCAGGGCACTGCCCCGAAAAGATGCCCGGGCGTCCGCAAGGGCCGGCGCGGCGAGCCGCGCGGATCCTGCACGTCCACCCGACGCGCCCCGGGTCGCCGTCGACGTCTCAGCCCCGCCGGTACGAGCGCCTCAGCTCCTCACCACAGCCGGGTCGCCCGCGACTTCCCCGAGCCCCGCCCACGAGGCGTGACCGGCTGCTGCACGTACGCGGCGCACGAGGGAGAGGCGGAGCGCGAGGGGAGGGCCGCCGCACGCGCTCGCCGCTGATTGGTCGCCGCCGTCGTCCCGGCTGGTTTTTGCCGGGGCGGGGCGGGGCGCGTCGCTGCTCAGTTGTCTCTCCACTGCTGCTAGGACTCAGTTCGCGCCCCGCCAGTGTGGCGTTCCTAGTCCCGCCCCCGCTGAGCTACTCGGCCGCCCAGGGATAGCCGAGGTGCCACGGCACTGGTGGGAGATCGGGAGCCCACGCCAGGAATCCAGTTGTACACTGTACTGAGGACCCTTCTCAACCAGTCACCTCCTCCGGGAGGCCTTCCTGGGATGGCTGATTCTTCCACTTCAGGATGTGTGTTTGTATGTTGACATTTTGACTTTCTCCTTAGTTTGATCACTCATGGCCTCCACTACTACCACAGGCTTTGGACACAGTTAAATGTAATTAAATTGTTTGATGCCTGTCCACCACCGTTTGACATACTAACTGTAATGTCACTGTCTGTTTCTTGGCCCTGATGCGCCGCCCTCCCACCTCCATCCCAGAGAACACCTTTGGTCAGGATTGTTAAGATACTGGCTCGTTCGCAATCCGCCACCCCTTCCCTCCCACTGAAGCAACCACTTTTGGACAAAATTGTTAGGTGGGGGTCGGCCATGTTGTAGTAAAGCTAACCCTCTACCTACAAGCCCCGGCATCCCATATAGATGCCAGTTCTTGTCTCACCTGCTCCACTTCCCATTCAACACCCTACTTGTGGCCTGGCAAAGCAGCAGAGCATGGCCCAAAGCCTAGGGATCCTGCACTCACATGGGAGACCCAGAAGAAGCTCCTATCTCCTGGCTTCAGATAGGCTCAGTTCTGGCCATTGCAGCAACCAACAGGAAGAAAAGACCTTTCTCTCTGTGTCTGTCTCCCCTTCTCTCTGTAAAGGTGACTTTCCAATAAAAAAAAAGTCTTTAAAAAGCAATTATGGCACTGATGATTTTTCATACCCTCCCAGTACCACTAGGCAAAATCAAATACCAGGTTAGTTCCCTTGCTGCCTTCCACCAACACTGTGGGCCAGGACTGATGCTAACGGCTCGAACCTCTGATTCCTGCCCTTCTCCCAGTGCTCCCATTGCAAAGGATCGAATGGGAGATCACGAGTGCTCCCCTTCATGCTCACCAGCACCGCCATTCCTGACTTGGTCTCCGGCTTCGGCACCATCACCACCTCTGTGGGCCAGCCCTCTATACTCACACTATGCTGATGGGCCTTGCTCATGCAGCAGTAAATTGGAACTCTGGCCTCAGCATAGGAAATCATTATTTACTAGTGTGAATACCTCAAGTACTGCTTGCTTTAACAGCTTCCACCAAGCCTTGGCTTCATTTTGCTAAGGTGTAAGCAAGTAAAAGGAACGATAGAATGGCCTTTAAGGAAAAACAAAGCTTTGTGCTTCCTAGACTGGTTTTCTCGCTGAGTGAGATTATTGGTGTATAGATATTTTGTTCATATGTCTTTATAAGGTATTTATGTTCCCAATTCTCTAATAGTTGCATCTCTACTCTCTGAATTTTTTTTTTCAGATTTTATTTATTTTGACAGGCATGGTTACAGAGAGAGAGGGAGAGATAGAGACAAATCTTCCATCAGCTGGCCCACTCCCCAAATGGGCACAATGGCCAGAGCTAGGCCATGCCAAAACCAGGAGTCTGGAACTTGATCCAGTTCTCCCACATAGGTGCCAGGGCCCAAGCAAGTGGATCCCTTCCCACTGACTTCTCAGGCACATGATCAAGGAGCAGCCAGGACTCAAACGAGCACCCAAATGGGATGACAGCATCACAGGCAGCAGCTTAACCCACTGCACCACAACACCAGCCTCTACTCTCCAAATTTAAAGAAAGTAACATATATGGACTAAGACATCCAATGGTCTTCTCATACTTCTGAATCTTCAAGTATGTATGGGTGGTCCTAGTGATGGTATGTAAACAACTACATGTTTTCCATTCAAATTAAAGCCTAACAAGGCCGTGATAATCATCTCTTTAACCAGGAGCTTTCCCAAGAGAACTAAGTTGGTATGCATGGTGACGTGTGGATCCCCCTGTGGCCCTCTCAGGTGCTGGCAATGGAACAGGTTTGGTGGCATGAGTAATCAGTGGCGTGGGCAAAGTTATCTGCTGGAATGCTGCTGCTCATCCTGTTAGATTTACAAATCAGGCTTTTCACTCCTTTCACTACACAAAGTACTGCTTTATATCTAATTATGCTGCTGTTTGGATTTGATCATTTGCACTTTGTCCTGCCGACTTTTATAAAAAGTCTCTCCAAAAGATATCAAAGTTCTAGCAGTGGGGAGCAACATGAAAGCACCCAGTGTAATGGAAATTGTACTGGCCCATGGCTCCTACAATCCAAAGCATCAATTCAAAGGTTCTATCATAAATTAGCTGGATGTACCTCTACCTTCATATTAAATATGATGGAAGCATATTGTCTCTTCTTGCAGCTCAGTGAATGCTATAGTTTCCATGTGGCTTGTTTTCCCCAAAAATTAGTAGGCGAGGTGAGGCTCTAACGTTGCAGTGCTGGGAGGGAACAGAGCCTTCAGGAGGTAAGGCTTAGTGGAAGGTGCTCAGGTCTCCGGAGGGCATCAACCACACTTGCAAGGAATTTGTGCAGTTGTCAAGGAACCATGGTTAGCTCCCAACAGAATGGATTGTTATAAAAGATCAGATGTCTCTTTCCCAGTATTTATCTTCCCATCCACCCAGCAATCTGCCCTGGGCACAGCCTGGCTTCCTCACCATGTGGTGACGCAGCAAAAGGGCCCTCACCAGGGCCCAAACAGATGGGACTACATATTCTTGGTCTTTCTGCCTCCAAAGCTGTGACCTAAATAAACTTTATTTCTTTATAAAGCAATCAGCTTCAGGCATTTTGTCGTAGCAACATCAAACAGATTAATACAGTGAACTAAGACACGGAAAGAGCAAAATAATTTTAGCTAATAAATAAATCTGGGTTTAACTCCAGATCTCCTGACTCTTAATTCAATGTTATTTCTTTTTATAAAAAGAGGTTTTATTTTTAAGGAATTTTTAGTAGAAAGTACAGGGAATTCCCATATACAACAACTACACAACCTCCTCTAGCAACATTCCATGTAAGAGTGCTACATTTGCTATAGATCAGTGGGGATATATTGCCACATCATTATCATTCAAAGTTCATGGTTTACATTAGGGCTCACTCTTAGTGTGGTATAGTGTATGCGTGTTGATAAATGACTAATGATATGCATTCACCAGTGTAGAATCATAAGTTCCATGGCTGTAAAAAAGCACAGAGGATTCTCTGTGCTCAAATTATCCATCCCTCCCTCGCCCTCAGCCCCAGCAACACTGATCTTGTCGCTATGTCTATCGTTTTGCCTTTTCCAAGTCATCATATGTTAGAGCAATCCAGTATACAGTTTGTCAGACTGGCTTCTTTCATTAAGCACAACATTACATATTTAATGATCCTCCATATGTTTTCATGACTTGAAAGCTCAGGTCTTTCTAGGCCTGAATAATGTCCCATTATGTGGATGAGACACAGTTCATTTTTCCTCTCACCTACTGAAGGATGTCTTAGTTACTTCCAAAATCCATAGCCTGCCTTTTGATTTTGAGAGAAATGACATTGTGAACATGAGCAAATGTTACTTAAGATTTTACTAAATTTACAGCTTTTCTCAATCTGCGTATGATTTAAAGCAGTAGTTCTTTGAAGTGTCTGCATTCTACATACTTTTGACAGACTAGGTCCAACCCCTCTTGAAGTCTGTTCATTTGAGTTCTTTTGTTTCTTTTGAAGAAGGAAGCTTCTGGAAGCAACTCCCTCAAACTCTCATTTCCTTCCCTCTTTCTGCTTCCTCCCCCATGTCTGAGTGCTGTCAGCAATCACCTTGTGATGAGGGGAAACCAGACTTTGGCAGAAAGCAGAGAAGAAAGGTGACGAAATTAAGCCCCCAATAATATGGCCAGGCTAAGTCAAACCTTGAAACCTTTTCTGAACTTGCAGTTATACCAGCCAGCAAATAACCTTTGTGGCTTGGGGGGGGGGGGCAGCATAAGGAGATATATGTTACTTCGAGTCAACAGTGTCCCAATTTTCACACCAAATATTCTCAAGCTACCCTGTACCTACACACAGGGCCAATCCTCCAGTAATGGCTGTTGTTGGGTGTCTTACCAGCCCTTCACATGGACATTCAAATTCAGATTGAATTCCATTTAACCTATAATATCCACAACCAGGAAAACAATAATGAAAAATAATTGAACAGATCACGGCACATACAAACGGGACCACTATACTATTATTCAAGATTTGTTATATGGAATCTACACGAGAACATGGAAAATGGAAATGTTAAAGAAAAACACATACACATACATAAATTATACTTTAAATCTGAGCTCAGTTAAGAAAAGAGCACATAAAATTTTTCATAGAAAAAGTAATGGAAGGAAAGAGAAATTTGCTACTAAAGGGTGCTTTAGAGTAATATTACAGTGAGAGGAAACCATAGAATTCCCCAGTGAGAAATTACAAACCCAGGCCAGAGAGCCTGAATGGCCTGTCTCAGTTCTCCTTCAGCCCAGAAGATGAAGGCTCATCATACCGCTCTTCTGCTTTTACCCCAAACTTGATCTTATCCGTTTCTATTACTATTTACTTAGTGCTCATAATTAACTGAACACATAGCATTATAGTGGACTCTGACAGCCAAATGGCCACCTTTTATCCAGACACCTGACATTTCTTACCTCAGCAAGTTTTGAAAAACCTTTATCCAATCCAAACTGTTGGCCAAGGTACAGCCCCCACTTTTAACCTCCCCCTCCCTCATCTCT